TTGTAGGGGGCTGGGGGTGGGCGGGGGGGCGGCACTATATGCATAGTCTGAGCTTCCCAAGAATCCATTGACCAATGTATCATATTTACCAGAATCAAAGACTTCAAATTTAAGATGAGACTACCAATAATTAGATTATGTACATAAAAAAATTATAAATTTGTTTTAATTTTCCATGTATAGCATCTAATTAGTAGAACATCACCTTAAATTTGTCCCCCTCTGCTACTGTGCTGAGGGAAGTAATGGTAGGCAGTGAGCGTCCAGACCCTTTTCCATTTTTCCCCTGCCCCCCACATGCCTCAGTTTGTTCCCCAACACCTTTCCCCTATTCCTGAAAACATAAAGGGGAGTAGGGACAGGGACCAGACAAGGACAGTTGGCAGGGGGTGAAGTCGATGGGTGCAGAGGGTAGGCTCCCACTGAGATGTGATTCTTTCTGCACAAGTAACCCCACTTTTGAGCCATTTCAAACCTTCAAAATAAGCAGAAAATTGTACCGTAGTGGTCCTTGTATACCAGGAACTGTATTTGCTTTTGGCCATATTGAGCCATTAGGCTCAGCCTCCTGTATGGAGCAATGGAGGATTTGCCCCATCACAAAAGTAGCCTGAAGGTGACCAGAGGGGTAGACATATGGGGGCAAGTGACGGAGGTGGGGAGGGGAGGAATGGCAAGGGCCATAGGACAGGCTGCGTACCCCTCTGCCATTGCTTTTTCCTGCCATTGCTTTCCCTGTGGCAATGGTGGTGGAAGATGAATTTAAGAGGGCCTTCTAATAACTTGATTCTAGACTTGGAGAATTAAACAAATGTATAATTTTCCATGTTTAGAATCTAATTTATTAGGGGGTGGTCATCTTAAATTACGCCACCCCACCCCCGCCTTCGCCTTGAAATATGGTCTGTACATGTGTAATGGAGCTTAAAGGCATAGGGAGGATCTGGGATGTGCATATGTGTCCATATGTATGTACATGGGTGTTATGTTTCAGCAAATAGCTGTAGCCAGGACATCTGCAAAAAGTTACTTTTATAGAGAGATCTGACTATGAAGGCAATAAAATGAATCTTCTTCCTTCTCTTTAAGTTAAAGGATTGAATTAGTTTTTAAAGTACTTGGATAAAGTGTTCTGCTTTTTATATTAGTTTTCTTTTATATAGTAAATTGTTCATTTTCAGTTATTTACCTTTGCTCTGCAATATATACAATATCACTGTTCATACAAAATGCAGTATTACTGATGAAAAAAATATGATTTTTTTCAGATATGACCACTCCAAAATGACCTAGCTTAAAAGCAAAGCAGAAAATTTAATATAATGTAAACTATCACAGAAATGTATTAAAAACACTTTGTGAGGGAGAAAACTATCACATAAGATTGTAGAAATGTAGCATGACAATTATTTCTCTTTTGGCAACAACCACTTAAGTAAATGGTAGGCCTCCCACCAATTTTATATTGAGCTTTTTTAAAAGAAATCTGCCTCACCAAACTACATACAGCAACCTTGTTTAATATTCCTATTAATACATAATTTTAATGTCTTCAGCTTTTCATATTTTTTTCTTTTAAGCTGTTTGACCATATAATTCAAAATAATTTTAAATTGTTCATTTATTTTATAGGGGATAAGTGCAAATCTCCTGAATACAGCAAAGTGAAAAATATGCTGCTGGACCTACAAAACCGGAGATACATTGCACAAGCAAAAGAAAAAATTATAGAAGATAAAATAGCTCTAAAGAAAATTCTGGTGGATCAGATGTTTAATTATTTTGATTCTGACAGGAATGGGCTTGTGGACAGTAATGAACTATCTCAGGTAAGAGGGTTTTATTTTTATTTTTTTTATTAGCAGATCTCTGTTCAATATGTCCCACATTGCAAAATCTCTGATGCTGTCTGTGTAGGTAGTATATAGCTTGAATGAATAGGCAGCCCTATGATGCTTTTATAGGTGATACTTGCAAGTATGCTTCTTAGGGTAAATTTACATGTTGCATTTAGACCACACTAAATCTGTGGCATGTTAAGCAGTGTTAAAGTTAAAACATGTTGTGAGCACTTACACATTAAGAGTTAATACTATTTCTTTCCTGCACAGCTATGTCTTGCCACTGGAAGATTGGTGAGGTAGGATTCAGGACACCTGGGCATTTATACATACATGCTACATTTCACTGGTGGGAGGGAATGTTTTAATGATATATTTTTCAATATTATTTCATAGCTCTTCATCTTTAAAGCTAGGTTATTTCAGTTATTTTGTCCAGTTGTACAGACAATTTTAGGTCTGATTTATTTGTCGTAGAGGATTATGGATGTGTGTCTTATACTGCTGGATGCATAGCTTTCTTAGGTGGCAAACTCAAATTTCTAATTTCTGTCTAGACAAGAAAATGAAGATGTGATTTTAGCACAGTTGGTGCAATCTGTACCAGTTTAGCTTCACTGTTATTTTAGCCATTATTTTCATTCATGTTACCACAGGTAGGCCTACCAGTTTCAAAATCACAATTTTTGTTTTACGGTGTAGATGGGCCCTAAATTTGAATACATCATGACGTAAGTGATCTTAAAGTTGTCACTGATCTAAACTCAGACATCTCCTCCCTTGGATTTTGGTTGTATGTAGATTAGTGGGCAAGAAAGAACCATATCTCTAAAGTGATGATGCTGAGGATAAGAGTAAAAAACAAATAAAATGCTGAAGATACCTATTTGAAAGTTTTTGAGGTTCAGTTAGGATGTAATTCTACCTGAGTTTTGTTAATGAGCCAAATACAAGGAAGCTGACTAAAGGTATATGATAAATATAGTTTTCTGAGTGGTTGGCGATAATTACAAGAGTATTACAAACATATGCTATTTGTATACTAAAATATTTTCTACTTTAGTTGTGTTAAAATTGAAAACTGCTTAGAAGTGAATTAGGAAAATATATGGCAGTGGGATATAATGCAGTAAGTTTTAGGCTGAAATTATTGACTATTCAGACGATTTTTAAGCTCAAGGGGAGAGTTTTACAGTACTTTCAAAATTTTGTCCCTGTTTTATTAATCAGCCAAAAACAAGGAAACTGACTAGAGGTATATGATAAATGTAGATTGTCGAGTGTTTAGAGATAATTACAAGAATATCACACATGTGCTATTTGTATAGTAAAATCTTTCATTCAGACATGGAGAGGAGGCATCTAAACATTTCATTTTACTGTACTCTTAAAAGCCAGGGAAAGGAGAAGAAAGTTGATTGGTTTCTCATAAAAGGACATTTTCTTTCTTCCTCAGAACCTGTCCAAACTTTTTTCAGGACCCCTCTACATTTGCAGGTAAAGGCGTGAGGGGTCAAATGAATGATCCACACAATTGTGCCTCCTGGCATGCCACACATGCATGGCAGGAGGCATGATTCTAGGATTACGAATCAGATTCCATCACGCCTTATTGTGGGTGGAGGGGGAACCTGATCTCAGGCTCCCCCAGCACTGGCAAAAAGCAAAATCCCACAGCTGGGGGTCCGCTGATCCTGCAGCTGGGAGACC